CTTCAGACCTGCCAGATTGTGGGTCAGCCAGGTCTGGTTCTGACACAGGTTGGCATGGCCAATAGCATCCCAGTGACCACACCGATAACCCTGACAGTAGCAGGAATGCCCATTCAAAGCCAGACGCCCAAGATCGCAACCAATCAAACAAGCCCTGCGCTCAATGAAACTAAAAGAGCTACCACCGTTCAGCCCCCATCACTGACTCCTCAGGAGAACTCTGCACTCAGTGCCGATCACTTTGGCCTGCGGCCTAAGAAATCCAAGGAACAGCTGGCTGAATTGAAAGCAAGCTATCTGAAGAATCAGTTTGCCAGTGATGCGGAGATAGCTAGGATAATGAAGTTGACCAACCTCACCAAAGGTGAGATTAAAAAGTGGTTCAGCGACACCCGATACAACCAGCGCAATTCTAAGAACACCCACGCCTTCATCGCGAATGACAATCCCAGGGGTAGTAGCAGTGCCACCATTGTTATTGACTCTAGTGACGAAATGCCACAGTCTCCGACGCCATCACCCGTCAAAGAGAAGGAGACGCGCTCCAAGACCTGGAACCCCTTCCCAGACTTTACCTTGCAGAAGTTTAAAGAAAAGACACCAGAGCAGTTGGTGGTCCTAGAGGAAAGCTTTCAGAAACGTGACACACCAACTGATGAAGAGCTTAGCCGGCTGAGGGCCGAGACCAAACTTACCAGACGTGAGATCGACGCCTGGTTCACCGAAAAAAGAAAAACCCCTGTGCCTGATTCCTCAGAGTCGAAAGCAGATGGTGAAACATCCCAAAAGAAGGGGAGCCAAACTCCACCTGGAGGAAAGAAGCTGAGCAAAGAGAAGGTTACTAAGAAAACACCCGAGCAGCTTCATGTTCTGAAGACTGCGTTCGTTCGCACCCAGTGGCCCTCGACGGAAGAATACGACCAGCTGGCTGAGGAGAGCGGACTGCCTCGTTCCTACATCGTCAACTGGTTTGGCGATACACGCTATGCCTGGAAGAACGGCAACTTGAAGTGGTATTTTTATTATCAAAGTGGAAACGCAGGAGGAACGAATGGCAACAAAAACAGAAAACGGAGGATTCGAAATCGCGGTTGGGGAAGAACCCGTAGTAGAAAAGCGAAGAAGCACACAGAATCGGAGAAGAATTTACCAATCAGGTTCAAGTCTGGACGGGATATTCTGAAGGAGTACTACTTGAAGCACAAGTTTCTGAATGAACAGGACTTGGATGAGCTTGTCGCCAAGTCTAACATGAGCTATGAGCAGGTGAGAGAGTGGTTTGCGGAGATTCATCGGAAGGAGGAAATGGGTACCAACCCGTTTGAAGATAAAACGGGAAATGAAGAACAAGATGAGGAGGAGGACGAGTCACAGGGTGAAAATGAGACGGCGGTTGAGGAGCAAGGACCTGCTTTGGGTGATGATGATGACACTGATGACAGCGATGCCTGGGAGCCTCCACAGAGCGTTCGAAAAACATTGTCCGTGTCTGAGGATCAGTGATTTTTCTGAATTGGCTTTATTCTGAGCAATGACCCTTGGTGAAAAATGTTGGGTCTCGACCACATGCCCTCTACCACTGCACCAATTCTGCTTATATTTTACGTAGTTTCACGTAAGGTTTGACTAGATCTTTTTAGCAAAAACATTGAGGAGAACTGTTTTTGGTCAGAATGTTTGACTACATTCAAACCTTGAGAGATCATGCACATTAAAGGGATAGTTCACCCAAAAATGAAAATTCTGTCATTAATTACTCACCCTCGTGTTGTTCGAAACCCGTAAGACCTTCGTTCATCTTCGGAACACAATTTAAGATATTTTTGATGAAATCTGAGGGCTCTCTGACCCTCCCATAGACAGCAAGGTAACTACCACGTTCAAGGTCCAGAAAAGTACCAAGATGATCGACAAAGTAGTCCGTGTGACATCAGTGGTTCAACTGTAAAGTTACGAAGCTACAAGAATACTTTTTTGCGCAAAGAAAACAAAAATAAGCCACACGCTCGCGTCATGATACTGATGTGAACGCGTGACGCAGTAGAGACAAAAATGTGGAATAAAGTCGATATTTTTGTTTTCTTTGTGCAAAAAAGTATTCTCGTAGCTTCGTAACTTTACAGTTGAACCACTGATGTCACACGGACTACTTTGTCGATCATCTTGGTACTTTTCTGGACCTTGAACGTGGTAGTTACCTTGCTGTCTATGGGAGGGTCAGAGAGCCCTCAGATTTCATCAAAAATGTCTTAAATTGTGTTCCGAAGATGAACGTAGGTCTTACGGGTTTCGAACAACACGAGGGTGAGTAATTGACAGAATTTTCATTTTTGGGTGAACTATCCCTTTAACAGGGTTGTTTTTTTCCCCCTCTGCGGCTCTGAAGTGCAGCGATAACTCAAGATCCCTTGAATAATAATAATAAGGTCATGCATACAATTTAAACTTATGTCTACCAGAATTGATCATGCACCTTAACCCTTGTAAATGCAAAGACATCCTAGGCCTCTATATGGTCTTTTAAATGGGCTTTTTTTCATTTGGAGTCAAATGGAGAACACTTAGTGCCAAAGGTATAGTATTGAATGTTATGGTTCCCTTAATAATGGGCACAATAGCTAATTAAGGGAATATGCATGAATACATTGTGTCAATTAGACACATGAGGCACTTTGTCAACCACCCTGATGTACGGAACTTAAAAAATGCAACCAGCCACCTTATTTGTGTAGGGCGAGACCAAACATTTCAAATCGAATTTCCAAATTCAGTGACACTAAAGTGTTTTATCGTCTACATACTGACCATGGATATCTGATATACAGCATAGTACATCCCAACAGGACGTTGTAGGTGTTCCTGTAGTTCTGCTGACTGCCATTATGGGGGTCATCTTCAAACAATAACAGCTAATACTCATCTTGTGGGGAAAGTTATTTTGTGGAAATGGTTGTAATAAACAGCTGATGTGACTATTTTGCCGTTTTTCAACTGGACAGTTTAAGTGTTTTCTCAAATTCAGTGGGAACATGGGGAATTCCTGTTTTTTGGTTGTTGTTTGCTGTTTGTTCATTTTTGAAGTAAGATCTCCCTCAGATTTCTCTTCTACACAGTTCATAAAGGGGACTTTCATTTGCTTGACACATTTTAACGGATCATGTTAAGAAAACATAATGCGTATTTGCCCTAATCATGAAGTGTTATGTTTTCCATCTCTATGACTGCTGCAGAATTTCTTTCTCTTCTGAGGAATATGTGTTTCTGGTTTCCATTAATATCTTGGTTTTATAGGACTAAATGAAACATGAACTATTGATGAATAATTACAGTGTGGGTGTAATTTGAGGTTGTCTTTTTATAATATTTGTGCATGAAAACAGCACTATGACTGGTACTTTTAAAATCGCCCCTGTGTAAGACATTCACCATCTTCATTATATCAGCATGCATCTGATGGAGGAAAAAAAGTGTTCGGTTTGTACATATAGCTTTATGCTCAACCAGTAGTTTAAATCCTTTTATAAGTTTGTATTTATAGTGATGTTAAATTTCACCTCTACACGAGTGGGTCTGCGTGTATGGCGATCATTCAAATAATTCTTGTGTGATTTAAGACCGATATTTTACTGATTTTTAAGAGCTCCGTGTTGTATTTTTGTTTTTATGTTCTGGATTTCTTACTTTTTGGTGAAAATTCATTTGACTTGCTTGCAACCCTCTGCATTTTCCTGTGAATCCTGTAGTGTAATATAGGCAAGAGGTCAAAGGTGCCTCTGTGAACATGGTAAGTACTGTTTGAACAAAATAGCACATTTAAACTTAGCAAAATGTGTCCTCTCCACTGTTAACAACTGATCCTTACATGTTTTTAGAGTTTGAGAGCCTTACTGGGATCTTGCTTTGAATGCATTTTAGTTTAGAATCAAACCACAGTTATATGTTGTGCTTCCTTCAGCTGTCACTAATAGTGTTTCAAAAATGGTCCGATTCAGATTAGACTGTTTCTAAGCTCTGAAAAACGGATTTTTACATGCACCAATAATAGTAATACAGATCTGGAACCATCATGGATCGTGATGTGAAACTCGTGACGAGCCTTAAAATCTGTAGATGCCGCTGTGGTGGCAAAAGCTTTATTTCCCAGAGCCATAGGCCTTGTGCAATGCTTTTTATTTAATTGAACTGTTTTAATAGGCTTTTGCTTGATTTAGACTAAATATATATATTTTCTACTTGTTTGTGGACAACACAATAAATTTGGATGAAATAAATAAATGCTGTATGCTGTTCTTTTTCTCCTCAAAGTTGGTCTTTTCAATAAGTGTCCTAATGGCATCACATTCTTCTTTTCAATCTCAAATCTCATTAGTAATAACTGAGACAAGATTATAAAATATCATACTGGCAACTATGGCATGAAACATTTTAGTATATCATTACATTTTATATAGTAAATTATTACACTGTATCACAGTATACTAGGTGACTATTAATTTTACTTTTGGGCGTATGGAATAAAATCACAACTCTATATGGTCGGGTACAGGTGAAAGATATGCTTTAACTATTCAAAAATGGAAATGACGTAAAAGAATATTCTGTGAATATTTCTCTTATATATTGAAGAATATTATGTAAAAAAAAAAAAAAAGTTTTGTATAGTTCAAATGTTGAACAAAAAAAATTAAGTTTCAGGATAATTAATGTCATGTGTACTAATGGGATTTTTAATATAATAAAACATAGCCTATAGGCTATATGTAATGTGATGATAATGACATTTTTGGAAGTTAACACGTTAGCAGTCACTTTTAATTGATAAAAGTAAAAAGGTAATGTTTCTGAATTAATATACGTAAATACCAATGCTTTGGTAATGGCATATAATAAAACAACTCTTAGATCCCGAAGAATCTTAATATTAAAACGCCAACTGTGAATCTTTTATTTTGAAGCAGTTGAACAGTACGTAGCCATTTAGCCTAAGCGCTGGGTGGAGCGACCAATGAGTGCTTCTCGTGACACTCACGTGATTTGTAAACAGGAAGTGACTGATCTGTACTGCAGAGGATGAGTGACTAGAATCTAAATTCAACAAACAAAATATAATCATGTAAACTTATTTTATATGTGGTTTTGGCTATTATAATGTATCGCTTCATTCATAGTGAACCGTATCTGGTGCATTCAGACCGTTTGAGCGCTGTTTGATCAACTTTGAGCAAAAGGTTTTTATTGAAATTTATTATAAAAACAAATAATTTGAGGTCAGAGTAATGACTGTATGTGCATTTGTAATGATAGCAGTCAATTACGTGGGTGGTATGCAAAATAATGTTTTGTTTTTATTATTGAATATCATCAGATCTGGCCGTCACTGAGGAGACTGAATGAATCTTTGATCAGAGAGCAGATCTGCTGTTTTCTTCCTCATCATGGTGGACTTTCTGGCAGAGAACAACCTGTGTGGTCAGGCCATCCTGAGGATTGTGTCCAGAGGAAATGCCATCATAGCAGAATTACTCAGACTCTCAGAATTTATTCCTGCAGTTTTCCGACTCAAAGACAAGAGCGACCAGCAGAAATATGGAGACATAATCTGTGATTTCAGCTATTTTAAGGTACCCTAATTGTCATCTTTAATGATGTCTTCTTAAATTAACTTGATCTGGGTTTTCTAAGAGGACCAGATAGATTTACAGTAAGCAAATGATTTTGAAATGAATCTGTGTTTTCTAGGGTCCGGAGTATTATGAGAGTAAACTGGAAGCAAAGCCAGAGCTGCAGGATTTGGATGAGGAGTTTCGGGAAAATAACATTGAAATATTAACACGGTTCTACCTGGCCTTTGAGAGTGTCCATAAATATGTTGTAGACTTGAAAAGGTGTGTGTTGTTTTCAAATGCATAACATATCTGAAAATTGTGACTAAATCATTTTTATTGAAATGAGGGGAAAATTCAGATCATCTTCTAATGGCAGCTCTATTAGTATTGCAGTTATTTAAATGTATTTATTTGACATGATGTTCCTCTGTTATGCTTTGCCGCAAAGATCCGATGTAATTTTTCTCCCTAAATCAAATCTTAAATTATTTATTCATTTAAAAACAATTAATTGTTTCCTCTGAAGGTACTTGGATGATCTCAATGAAGGGGTCTACATTCAGCAAACATTAGAAACTGTTTTATTGAATGAAGATGGGAAACAGCTCCTGGTAAAGTCTAATTTCTGCTTCCCTAAGTACAGATAGGAGTTAAACAGGGTAAATGAGTTTATAAATGCATGTGATTTCTGTCAGTGTGAGGCTCTGTACCTGTATGGAGTCATGTTACTGGTCATTGATCAGAAGATGGAGGGGGAGGTGAGAGAAAGGATGCTGGTGTCCTACTATAGATACAGGTAAGACTGTATTTTACCTTATACCTTTGTATTTTTTGGAGGTGATTTGTTGGCTTCGACAGCTCACAAGCAGCTCAGTTGAGGTGAAACATCTCAACAAATGGACAAACACGTCAATGTGCTACTGAATAAACAATATTGATCATCTCCTCAGTGCTGCTCGCTCCTCGGCTGACTCAAACCTGGACGACATCTGCAAGCTCCTGCGTAGTACGGGATACTCCAGCCACCCGGGGGCCAAACGGCCGCCCAACTACCCTGAGAGCTACTTCCAGAGAGTTCCCATCAGCCCCACCTTCATCAGTATGGTGATCGGCCGCCTCCGCTCTGATGACATTTACAACCAGGCAAGACAGTGGTGTGATTTAGGTCAGGGGTTTTCAAACTGGGGGTCCTCAGAGAATTTCAGAGAAAAATAGTTTTAAAACACATATAAAAATTTATATTAATAGTAAAATTTGTTTGATAATGCTAAATTATTTTATTCTATTGACAGATAAAATGAAATCATAAAATGATCAGAAAGGTTCAGAAAAAAAAAACAATAATAAAATAAGTTTGGTAATGGCAAAATATTTAATTCTATTGACATAAAATAATTGGGAAGGTTCAGAGAAAATACTTTAAAACATATACATATATAAAAAATTAATAATAACATAAGTTTGATAATGACAAATTATTTTATTCTTTAGACAGATAAAATGCGTAAAAAACTAACTAGAAAAGTTCAAATAAAAATGTGTAAAAACTTCAGTGATAATAATAATAATGTTTGATATTGACAAATTATTTCATTCTGTTGACTGATAAAATGCAAAAAAAAAGAAACTTAAAGTTAAAAGTTGGAAAAGTAAAAAGAAAAAAATAAATAAAGAAAAATAGTGTACACACACACTCACA